GTCAATCATTCTATGGCATCCAATTTTGCTATAAAACAGACCATCCGGTCTAAATTTGCACCCTTAAAAAAATTCTCGTGATAAATATTAGCAAAAAAATTCCTTAAAATTGCTAATAAAATAACATATGGAGTTCTCTTAACAAATTAGTGAAAATATAGGGTGTTGAATGCAATAACACAAAAAATAATGTCTTATGTTGATGGGAATCAGCATATAGCTTTACTTTTGGATTGAACCATGGTTGGAAACAAGAAAATCTGATTTCCAAAACTTCCCAGAAGTTGTTACCATTTCCAATTTCGTCAACAACATCTCTCTCTCTCTCTCTCTCTCTCTCTCTCTCTCTCTCTCTCTCTCTCTCTCTCTCTCTCTCTCTCTCTCTCAACAAAACAACAATGGCGGCAGAAGCTGCGGTAGGAGCTGCAGTTCAAGTTTTACTTCAAAATCTGATCACACTTTCGGAGGAGCAAATAAGCCTCGTTCGAGATTTCAAGAAAGACCTGAAAAAGCTAAAAGATTCTCTCTCTATGATTCAAGATCTCTTGGACGATGCGGAGAAGAAGCAAATCACCGAAAAATCCGTCAAACGCTGGTTGAAGAAGCTCGAAGGTGTCGCCTTCGACGCCGATAACGTCTTGGATGAGCTCAACTATCAAAATCTCTCCAAGAAAATCCAAACGCAATACAAAATGAAGAAAACGGCGCGTATACGATGCTTCATCCTCCCGCAATGCGTTCCCGATGCACGTCGTCTAAAAATGGCACGTAAAATCAAGGATATCAATCAAAATTTGGAAGAGATCAACCTAGAGGCAACCAAATATGGCCTTCAAAAGTCAATTGCAGGTACACATGCTCCACTTACTGGATCATCTGCAGGCCTTGAAACCGACTCGTTCAGTATCGATCCGATTTTTCTTGGAAGAGAAAATGACGTGTCTGCAATTGTGAAGACGATGACTACTCTTCCAAATGGTCAAGTACTCTCTATCCTACCCATTGTCGGGATGGGTGGACTCGGAAAGTCAACGGTGGCTAGACAAGTATTTGATCATGAAGAGATAAGGGCACATTTCGATAAGCATTTATGGGTGCATGTTTCTGAAAAATTTGATGCCGTGATTCTTCTCAACAAGATTCATACATTGTTAGCAGAAACAAATGTCGAACTCGGAGCCAAGCAAGCTCTTCTGGAGAAGATTCAGAAACATTTGGGAGGTAAAAAATTTCTACTTGTCCTAGACGACGTTTGGAATGAAAATCAGGAAATATGGGATGATTTTATTAATCCCTTAAGAGGAATTAGTTCCGGGACGGGAAATGGCATCATTGTTACTACGAGAAGTGAAATTGTTTCTTCCGTTGTGAGAACACTTCCTGTGCATCGACTAAAAAACTTGCCGGAAGCTGAGTGTTGGTCCATAATCAGAGCAAAAGCCTTTAGAGAAGATAATAATATTCCATCACAACTGGAGACCGTTGGGGTATCTATCGCAAAAAGATGTCAGGGTTTGCCATTGGCGGCAAAAGTGGTGGGGGCATTGTTGCGTGATAAGAATATCGATGAGTGGATTTCAATTGAAAAGAATTGGCTCTCCAAGTCCGGAAGTGAAAATAATGTCTCAAATATATTGAAGTTGAGTTATGATCATTTATCGTCGCCATCACTCAAAAAGTGTTTTGCGTACTGTTCAATTTTTCCTAAAGGATATAACTTGGACAAGGAAAGGTTGGTTGAGCTTTGGATGGCAGAGGGATTTCTTGGAGGAAATGACGATATGGAGATTGTCGGCAACAAATTCTTTAGTCTTCTCCTACAGAACTCATTGTTACAAGCTGTGAAGAAAGGTGACTACAACAACACAACATATTATAACATGCATGATCTTGTTCATGATCTAGCATCATCTGTTTCAAATTCAAAGACAAATAATGTTTGGGACGAGGCGTACCAAGTTCGGTATATCACCCTACAATCTACTAATGTTGAAACAGGTCGTATCCTAAAAGAACAAGCAAGATATCTTCGTACATTATATTTCCATGGTAATGTACCTGATATCATGTTGTCAGATTTCAAATGCCTACATGCTCTAATTATCGTGAGAGATGGTGTTGAAAGCAATGATGATCAAGAGTTGCCAAGTTCATTCGGCGAGCTGATACATTTGAGATGTCTTGACATTTCAGGCATAAGGATTAAATGTTTGACAGATTCGATTGGTGAACTCTATCACTTGCAGACATTTAGAGCAAGCTATGTTTTGGAGAAGATGCCAAACACAACGAAACACTTGACGAGCTTGAGACATCTCCACATTCCTCAAATAGAATTACCTCCGGAGATAGGAAGATTAACTTCTCTTCGAACACTACCATACTTTGTAGTGGGCGACGAAAAGGGTTGTGGAATTGGTGAGCTTGGAAGCTTGAAGAATCTTCAGGGGGAACTAGAGATTTATAATCTTGAAAAGGTGCATAGCAAAGAAGAGGCCGAGAGTGCAAATTTATCACAAAAGCCAGACATTGTCCAATTAATGCTTCGTTGGAGTACTGAAAATAGAGAAGGTGAAAATTGTGATGAGAGTGTGTTGGAAGGTCTCCAACCCCATCCAAATCTGAGAATTTTAAGGATTGGTGGATTCAGCGGAAAACGTTTTCCGTCATGGTTTTCGAATTTGTCTGGGCTTAATAATTTGACGATGATAATGATTGCAGGGTGCAAAGAATGTGAACAAGTCCCGACGTTAGGGCACTTGCCGAATCTCAAGTCTATTCTTTTAAGGGGTCTAGACAATGTGCAAACCATAGGTTCGTCATTCTACGGAATCGATGACAACTGTAGTAGCACATCAAGCAACAGAGTTTCCAAGACGGTGTTTCCTGCGCTTGTAAGGCTCGAGTTGCAGGGAATGCCAAAACTGACGGAATGGTTAGAAGCGGAATTGCCAAGTGCAGTAGAGAATCAAGAATTGGTGGTATTTCCTCGCCTCGAATACTTGGAGGTCCATGGTTGCGAGCAACTGATGAGTGTTCCAAGTCACTTCCCATGCCTTACAGAATTGAATATTATTGCCTTAGACAGCGAATTACCTTTCACAAGTATATGTGGGGTCAAATTGAACTCGCTTACAGAGCTCCAAATTTATTCAATTGATGGATTGACGTGTCTCCCGGATTGGTTATTGAGCAACAATCAAAATCTTAGGAAGTTGGCGATATCGTATTGTAACAACTTAATGCATCTAGTTCCGCGCTTGGAAGGTGCGGGAGTTTCTCTTAGGGATTTGTTTATATATAATTGTCCGAAACTCAGAGAATTACCGGATGATCTACACAGCCTCAATGCTCTCGAGAAGTTGAATATAACTGGTTGCCCGAATCTGGAAACAATACCTTATCCGCATGAAATGATGGAGTCATCCCTCGAGAGTTTGACACTGAATGGATTGACGAATTTAAGGAATATGGAAATGGTGATTGGGTGGTATTGCTCGAATAAAATGCCTCGCCTGTCGACACTAATTCTTGATGTTCCGATGATGAATATGATCACCACTAATTCATCTTCCTTGTCGGAGATTACAGTTGGTTCTTCTTCTTCCGGTCATGACAGTAGTTTGCGGTATTTAAGCATCGATAGTACAAGATGCGATGAGTACTCAAATTCATTCATTGACGCCATTTTGAAAGCATCGACCAAATCTCTTAATATCTTGTCGTTGGCAGGGAATAATTGTGACGACCAAAGTAGTGGTTATCTACCGGATCAGATTCAACATCTCACTGCTCTTTCTAAGCTATTCTTACACGATTTAGGAAATATACAAGAATTTCCTGAATGGTTTGGGAACAACAACAGCTTTTCGTCGTCTCTGCAGCTGTTACATATAAACAACTGCAAGAAGTTGCGACATTTGCCGTCCAAGGAAGCAATGCTACGCCTCACCAAATTAAGTTATTTAGCTATCGGTCGTTGTCCACTATTAAATTTAAATAAAATACGAGAAATAAGTGATGATGATGATTCAGAGTGGCCCAAGATTTCTCATATCCCCGAAGTGTATGTGGATGGGAATCAAATACCAACTCATGCTCAGTAAATGTAAGCATACTTATTATTACTATTTTATTATATTGGATTTACATATAGTGTATGTCAGCTGATTATATATTGTTTTCTTTTTCTTTTTGGTTATCACATCTCAAAATCTGCGAATTTAACTTCAATAGGTCGCCGAAGGCATACAACACAAATAAAGTCCGAGACAGAGCAGCAGCGAAAGCCATCCTTTTTTGTTGAACTTAAGAGTTTAATTTACTTTGATATATACTGTAATTATGTCACAATTTAGTTATTAGCTCGAAATATTTTACTTTTGCCTTGTTGAATTTGTGTGGTCATTGTTATGAAATAAAAACTTGCAAGCTTATGCGACTTTTTTCATTTGGTTAGGTGGATTTCAAATCCACAATAATCCCTCAAAAATAGTTCAAATTATAATTGAAGGATTTGGAATCCATTTTAACATGAAATTCATACAAATGAGCCGGCTCGTGAGTTCACGAACAACTAAAACAAGCTCGAGCTCGATAAAACGCTCAAGCTCGAAAAACTCGAGTTTGAATTCGAGCAGGCACATCGAGCTCACGAGCGGCTCAGCTCGTTTACCACACCTAATGTTCCGTTCAATTAATTCTTACCAAAAATTGGTTATTATGATTCACATATAGTAAACTACTTATTAATTAATAATTACTAACCAATATTACCTAATTTTACATCATATGCAGCTCTGTAGTATAATTTTATATGTGGATCAATCCTTTTTTTTAGGTTTGAGAACCATTCATTCGGGTCTTAGATTTTATCAGTAAAAATTGACAGAGAGAGATTGGAACAAAAATTGAAATCTCAAAGGGCTACAACTCTGCTGTTGAGTGACATTATATAGAAAGTTATTCAGAGAGAACGTGAAATTCGATGACACGACGAAGGAAAAAAAGTAGCATAAATCCACAGTAAGTCCGAAGGCAAAGTATCCATAATAATATCATTCCCATCTTCTCATTAAATCCCTTGTTTTGACCATTTAGCAAACTCGACATGAACCAACTTTTACGGAGTTTAGACTTTCCTGCATTGATGGATTGGAAAGAGGAACGATATTAGCAAAGCTTGCGTATTCATTCCAATAATCAATTAGTAAGAAATATCAGCCGCTTTTTTATTGGTGAACAGGAGCTAGCGAATAAAAAAAAAAACGAGATAATTTCAGATCATAGTACGGTGCAAAACACGAATAAAAAATAACAGAGAATAAATCAAGACCTGGGTTGAGAAGAAAATAAAAAAAAAATCAGAAACCATTTGGGTATATTTGACACAAGTAATTGGAAGACGTAAAAATGGAAGAAACCACTAACTACTGCATTCCTCCTTTTATAAGTAGTATAGATATAGAATAGATATAGATAAACCTTCTTCACAAGTACGGTGGTGTTGACTCGACATATAACTCAGTCTCGTCCCCTTCATCATCCTCTTCGTCTGCATGTACCCAGTTGCTTCGATGGCGTTGTGATAAAACACGTTCTTTAGTAATGCCTACACCATCTATACGAGTATTATACGATCAACGATAGTTTTACTCGGCATGTCCAACAAAATAAGTACGATTTTATGAATAATCGACATACCTTGCGGTTGTCCTCGAACATCTGTTTCCATGACATGGCAGCTAAATTCATTCGGTCAAGAAACATCAACACCAATTATTTCAGAAACTGCATCCTATTTTCTACTTCCACTCAAATTTACATAAAATATATATGTTGACACCGAAGTTTCACCAATTAATGGCCAAATAAATCGATTGTTAATTGGGTCTCAAATCTAAGTCCATAACATATTTGGGCGTTACAAATGGATTAATCCTTATATAAGTAATAAATTCTTATTTTACGGATTATCTAATTGAGCTCGAATCTAGCCCAATAAATCAAATGGCAAGTATCCAAGTCCATCGGCCCATGCTACAAGTCAAAACCCTAGCTCGTGTCTACAAAAAGCGACATTCGGTGCATGCAAAAAATCAGACTCACACAGACACATATCGACCTCTCAAGCTCAGTCTCGAGCCTCCGTCTCGAATTCATAACATATTTGAATTCGAGGTGTTTGTATCGAATTCATAACATATTTAAATTCGAGGTGTTTATGTTTATTCGGTTCAAGAAAAAAGCTCTTAAGCCCTTGAATCGATTTTAGAATAGGAGAGAAGAATCAGGGGAATCAAGGAGATTTGTAATCCGCTTTCGTTTGATTAATGAATTTATTTGTTCCCTATTTTTCCTGTCTTGTATTTATGTATTTTGCAGACTCGAAAAAATTTGAGGTTAACAATATATAATATATATAGGGCAAATGAGGGTCACGACTCTGAGTTAAGGTCAAATTACGAAAACCCCTTTCCTGTTTGGGTAATTACAGTCACCCACCCCTCAACTATGTAATATCGTACGAAAAAACCCCTCCAGAGGTAAATTGAAGGATGTTAATTCGGTAAAAAACCGAACCGAAATTTCGGTACGTCAAATTTCATAGCGTTTACCGAACCGAATATACGATTTGGTTCGGTAAATAACCGAATTACGTAAATTTTATTGAAAATATTTAAAAGGAGGGGGTTGGCTGTAATTACCCAAACAAGAGGTTTTTTTTCGTAATTTGCCCTATATACACATATATATACATACATAAGGATACTCCATCTGACGAGGCATTTCGTCACCAGTATTATCTAAAGAAATGTTCATGGCATCAATCCTCTTAATAGTAGTCCCCTGGTCATTGGTATTTTGATTTCTTTCCCTGATATGCCTAATTGGCCCAACCCAATGGGCCTACAAATTATTTACCTACTGGGCCACGGGCCCAATATCGAAGACCACCATCACCGAGGCCCAATCACCTTCAAGTAAGGTTTGAGCCCGACAATCTCAACTAAGCTATAAATAAAGGTTTGAACTCATTCCTTAAGGTACGTCCTATTAACTGAGCAATACTATAATACGTATTCTCTGGACTATTTTTATGATCAGCACGTCTGACTTGAGCGTCGGTGGGGTTTCCGCCGGATCAACCCCCGGCTTAGTTCATGTGTTCTATGATCACAGGTACTTAGGATCATCAAGTTGTGAAGCTACTGATCTGCTTTGCTCTCCCAGCTCGTTTTCTACACCACCCTAGGTGAGCTACATTTTAGCATCATCATTTTGGCGCCGTCTGTGGGAACGATGCAAACCAAATCACGTAGCCAACAAGATCCTCCTGAGGCATGAGCTCAGAGAGAAAATAACACAGCTAATCAAGATCCTCCTGAGGCGTCAGCTCGGAGAGAAAATGACACAGCTAATCAAGATCCTCCTGAGGCGTCAGCTCGGAGAGAAAATAACACAGCTAATCAAGATCCTCTTGAGGCGTCAGCTCGGAGAGAAAATGACACAGCTAATCAAGATCCTCCTGAGGCGTCAGCTCAGAGAGAAAATGACACAGCTAATAACCTCCCAGTCCGTGGAGGATCTGGCATGCCAGCTCCTCCACGTGCTGTAGATCCACCTCGCGAGGTTCAGGTGATCCCCCCTAGGGACCCACCACTCGCCGATCCACCACTCCATACTCCTCGAATGGTTCAAATAACCGATGATGCGCTTCAACGCATGATAGCATAAGCTTCAACTTGCGCTGCCACAGAGGCCGTGACCCAATATATCGCCACGATGGGAGCAAATGCTCCCAACGCGATACCAGCACCTGCTCCACATGTGGAGCCACCTATGGCACCACCGCCATGGACTCCCTGAGGGCTTACCTCTGCCCCCAAAATATCTCGCTCACCAAGGGTTATCGACTCCCTGGGGGTATACAGTGCCCCCAAAACATTTCGCTCGCCAAGGGTTATCGACTCCCTGGGGGCTTACATCTGCCCCCAAAATATTTCGTTCGCCAAGGGTTATCGACTCCCTGGGGTTCATAGTGCCCCCAAAATTTTTGCTCGCCATGGGTCATCGTCTCTCTGGGGCCTACTTTCGCTCCCCCTCGAACGGTTCAGATGACCAAAGAGGACCTTCAGCATATGATCGCCGAAACTTCAACAAATATCAACTTCTACTTGCTCCTCTAACGGTTCAGATAACCGATAAGAACCTTCAGCGTACGACCGCGAAAGTTTCAACTCGTGTTGCCACTGAAGCAATGGCACAACCGTGCACATCCACCTCAGACCATAGGTCTTGAGCGCCTCATTCTAAAGTAAAGGGCTATCCCATCCCAAGGTTGGCATCACCTTTACCTTTCAACCCCAAGTGGGTACACATCCCATCTCAAGAGACGAGTATAATCTCCCTACTCAACAAATAGAACATCCCCATCCCAAGGTGGGCATCACCCTTACCTTTCAACCCCAAGTGGGTGCACATCCCATCTCAAGAGACGAGTATAATCTCCCTACTCAAAAAATAGAAAATCCCCAAAGGGGTTCACATCAACCACCTAAAAAAAAAATAATAATAATAAAGAAAAGGGAGTAGAAAAAAGAAGAAGATGAAGAAAAAAGAAACAAGAAAAAGAAGAAGAAGAAAAAAGAATAAGAAAAAAGAAACAAGAAAAAGAAGAAGAAAAAAGAAAAGCTAAAAAAAAAAAAAAAAAAAATAGTGCAAAAGAGGCTAGCGCGTGCACAGCACGCGCGATGGCAGCCGTACCCGTGCATTTGCAAACGCGCGCCTCGAATGGCGCGCGCGGAAGAAAAAAATAAATAAATAATATTAGCCCTCCAAGCTGCTCGCGCGCCTCCCAGCACCCGGTTCTCTCCAAGCCGCGCGGCTCCCAGCGCGCCATGCAAGTCGCGCGCCTTCCAAGGCGCGTCAGCCACACATGGGCAGCCTCCTCCTGCCTAGGGCCGCGCGCGCCACTCAAAAAAAAAAAAAAAAGAAGTAAAAGAAATTGAAAAAAGAAAGCGAGCAGCACCAGCTTGCGTGGCCTCTCACACGTCACATCATGCAAAAAAAAAAAAAAATTAAAATAAAGAGAGCAGCACGTGCTGCTCACCCATCACATCATCCTCCTCCAAAGTCATGCATCAGCCCTCCATCAATCATGCGCGCGTCCCAATACTACATGGATTCGCGCGCGCCCCTCCCCTAGTCACCTAATCGCGCGGAATTTGCACTGCGCACCGCTAAATCGCGTGCCGATTTCACCTCGCTTCACCAAATTGCACGAGAATTTCAACGCGCTTCACCAAATTGCGCGAGCTCTCCAACGCGCCTTGCCAATTCGCGCGCGCTCTCTCAAACAGATAAATAAAAAAAAAAATTATTTCTCTACGCCACGACAACAATGAACGGAACACGACAGCACCTACTACTCTCGACACGATCCGGTATTCTTTTCGACGCGACTCCCACATCGACTCGAGAGTGGGGGGCTTGCAAGACTCCCACGAGGAGCAAACTCGTTCGGTCATATAACCCGTTGCGAGACAACTCCCACGAGGAGCCAACTCGCTCGGAACTACAACCCGTAGCGAGACAACTCCCACGAGGAGACCACTCGCTCCGTCATATAACCCGTTGCGAGGCAACTCCCAAGAGGAGCCAACTCCCTCGGGTCTACGAAACCACAGCGAGATAACTCCCACGAGGAGACCACTCGCTCCGTCCTATAACCCGTTGCGAGGCAACTCCCACGAGGAGCCAACTCCCTCGGGTCTACGAAACCACAACGAGATAACTCCCACGAGGAGATCAATCGCTCCGTCCTAAAACCCCTAGCGAGGCAACTCCCACGAGGAGTCAACTCCATCGGTACTACTACCCACACCCGAGACAACTCCAACGAGGAGACAACTTGCCCGCAATTCACTATATAATCGCAAGCTCAAGTTAGCACGATTACAACCCTAGAAACACTTAGAGATATTAGGAGAATCTATATAACCTGGCCAGCTTGATTACTCAAAATTTATCTACTTGTTTTCGATGGGTCCTTCATTAAAACGTGGTCACGCTCCAAACATACTTACGACCCACGAGGTCGGACAAGGGGCACGATCCCCATAAAAAAATTTTGAGAGCCTGATCCCCTCCTCAAGTACATCACGCACAAGGCTATATGTAAACACATACAAGCAACGCGTCAAAACATTGACAATGTCGATAAATAACAACTCCCACGAGGAGAATACTAGCTCCGTGCTACTACATTATCACGAGACAACTCCCACGAGGAGATCACTCGATCAACTCTATTACCCCACGACGAGACAACTCCCACGAGGAGATTACTTGATCCGTGCTACCACATTATCGCGAAACAACTCCCACGAGGAGATAACTCGATCAACTATATTACCCCGCGACGAGACAACTCCCACGAGGAGATAATTCACTACTACATCGTCGCGGGACAACACCAACGACTCAAATAATTTACATAGTGACAACTTGGTCGCGCTACGCGCCAACGCGCATTCACGCCCCTGCGACACACGCTCCAACGCGTTTTCGCACACCATCGACTACTACAATTTTTACTCTCGACACGATTTGTCACCCATTTCAATATGGCCCCCACATCGACTCGAGAGTGGGGGGCTTAATGATATGCCTAATTGGCCCAACCCAATGGGCCTACAAATTATTTACCTACTGGGCCACGGGTCCAATATCGAAGACCACCATCACCGAGGCCCAATCACCTTCAAGTAAGGTTTGAGCCCGATAATCTCAACTAAACTATAAATAAAGGTTTGA